CCTGTATAATTCATTTCTAACCTGCTTTTATTTCCTGATTCTACAGATGAAATTCCACCTTGACAAGTCCTCTCTGTCCCTGCCACTAAAAAAACTTTTTGTTCAAGTTTTTATCAGTAATGCCTCTACTCCATGACAATCCTAAATTCATGCCATACTTCTCTTGGTAGGGCAGGACTGTAAATGGTTTTGTTGAATCCTGCACCTCTCATATTTTGTCTGGTCCTGAGAGTACAGTATGAAAAAAAGGTGCTAAAGTTGTTTGGTGAGTTTAGGAACAGAATGGGGCCATGATAGCTGCATCACAGTGCTCAGTGGGGACAGTGGGCAAAGATGAGGGAGGCAGAGGGCAGATCACGTTGTGACTTTTAATCACTGAGTGAAGTTTGGGTTTTATTCCAAACCCTTTGGGAGGCCATTGGAGGCGTTTACGTATAGGAGTAATAGGATATAAATTGTATCGCAGGAATATTGCTTTTGCTGCTTCCATGTGAAGAATGGATTGTGAGGAAGTCAGTGTGAAGAGATGGGCTGGAAGAACATCCCTGCGAGAGGCAGTGATACCTGGGACTAGATGTAAAAGGTGTCATGAGAGTGACAGTCATTTGGAAGGTGGTCCATTAATGTTTAGACAGTTACTCATACTTGCCTGCATAGGTATGTACTCATACTGCATACAAATATAAGTTTAGAACTTTTCATCTGAGGAGCCAGAATGAAAGCAGTTCTCTGCTGTGCATTTTTAGTAAAGTATAAAAGACACACATTTTTGACATAATTCTGTGACCTTTAGTGGGTTTGTATCCATGCCTTGTCAAACTTCCACTTGGGAATTTATGGATCTCCAAGGCTGGAATGCTTATTTGTGTATGTGTGTTAAAGAGAATTCTCCCACGATACCCACAAATGGCCATTAAATGTTACCTTTCCTACCCGTGGCATTGACACTATCACAGTCTTGATTGAACATCTATAAGGTCATCTGGGTGTCTGTTTCTGCTTTAATAGGATAAAGAAATGCTATTCATAATTGGAATGGTTATTTTATTTCTCGGAGAAGAATCCACTTTCAGCTGGATGGAAGAAAGAACCCAGACAAAGCTTTAACTGTCTTTTTCGCTTTTACTCCTTCCAATCACTTATTTGGTTTTGATTCCTTTGTTATGAGATCCAAAATGAAACAAAATAAACAAACAAACAAAACCCCCCAGAAGATGCAGGAAGGGCAATTGGGGTAAATCTTAGTTATCCAGGACATGGCAATGTACTCATACTTTACAGATCTAGCTAACCACACATAGTCTTTTTTGCCACAGTTCCATGTTGCTCAGACTTTCGAAATCTTTCATATAAAGACTTTAAAGGTCAGGGAAACAAAGCAGTCATATAATGCTCTTCCCAAACCAGAGTCGTCCATAGTTGTTGGGCGCTATTGGCCTCTGAGTGCAGCAACTCTGTTAGACCGTGAAGGAGTGCAGGACTTCAGACTCTTTACTCACTCAATGCTTGTGGGATCCTCAAACCACATGGCAGCCCTACACACCCAGCCCATTAAAAATTCAGATCGAAAGCTTAGAAAACTTGCATGGAGCCCTGGAACATTGACCGTTCCCTCACACTCACCTTACTTAGCTTACTAGGTCTGTAAAACTAATTAAATATGTATTATCAACAACTTGGTTCTTAAAAAAGGAAATTTTCATATTAATAAGTGCAGCTTACAGTGTTTAATTAAAATTTTAAATGGGACCAAACGTTAATTAAAGAGGCCATTAAAAGTGGCCTTTTAGACCAAAAATCGTATGTTCTCCCTCATATGTGGACATTAGATCAAGGGCAAACACAACAAGGGGATTGGACTTTGAGCACATGATAAAAGCGAGAGCACACAAGGGAGGGGTGAGGATAGGTAAGACACCTAAAAAACTAGCTAGCATTTGTTGCCCTTAACGCAGAGAAACTAAAGCAGATACCTTAAAGCAACTGAGGCCAATAGGAAAAGGGGAACAGGTACTAGAGAAAAGGTTAGATCAAAAAGGATTAACCTAGAAGGCAACACACATGTACAGGAAATCAATGTGAGTCAATGCCCTGTATAGCTATCCTTATCTCAACCAGCAAAACCCCTTGTTCCTTCTATTATTGATTATACTCTCTCTATAACAAAATTGGAAATAAGGGCAAAATAGCTTCTGCCAGGTATTGAGGGGATGGGGGGGGGAGAGGGAGGGGGCGGAGTGGGTGGTAAGGGAGGGGGTGGGGGCAGGGGGGAGAAATGACCCAAGCATTGTATGCACATATGAATAATAAAAAAAAATAAATAAAGTGATCTTTTAAAAAAAATCTTTTATGAGGGACACATGTGAAGTGAAATTTGCTTTAAGCTCTCTTATGGGGTATAGATGAAAAAAGGCTGGATGAAATGACACATAGAAATTTTAATGATGGTTGAAGTTAGGTGATAGATATTTGAAGTTTATATGCTAGTCTATCTGTGTTTAAGTATGTTTAAACTTTCCAAATAAAATTTCAAAGAAAGTAGTTGCCAAATTCTGTTCAAAGAGCTTTGAAGTTCACAGAATCTTGCATATATCTTTTGTTCTTTCTGTCTGCTATGGATGATATCTAATTGACTCCTGGCATTGGTTCTTGGTTTTGTGTGACTCTATGGTCATAATTTTAAGCTCCTTCTCTCTGTCAATCTCTCTGTCTCTGTCTCTGTCTCTCTCTCTCTCAGTGGTACTGGGGTTTAAACTTAGGGCCTCACACTTGCCAAGCAGGCACTCTACCATTTGATCCACTCTGCCATCCCCCTAGGTCTTCTTGATGACAGAATTCATGATGCCACCCCTTTCCTTTTAGCTATGGTACCTCTAAAAAGTTACCACTAATAATCAGTTACCTTTGTCATATTTTAGAGCCTTTAAAGGCAGGGCTTTAAAAAAGTAAGTCTTGGCACATCCAACCCAAACATACCCACACGTAGGCTGTGAGTGAATGAATGCTAATGGTTTTACTTGATGTCTATCCTTGGGTCGACATGCATGGTTCCCCTCCATTACTTCTAGTTATTTTTCCTACATGAGTACATGTTGATGATGGTGATACATCCTGGCTTAGGCAGAGTGTTGCCTTGGGCACAGGTGTTTGACTCCCCAGGTATCTTTGTGCAAATGACTTGGTCTTCCTAATCCTGTTTGCTCATTTGTAAAAGGAGGGGTGTGTGTGATAATAATCATACTAACCTTATAGAGGAATAGTTAATGTATAAGTAAAAATAAGTGTTCTGTTGTAAGTATAACCATTGTTTTAAATCAAAGGTTCTTTTGGTAACACTCCTGCTAAAAACAATTCACTCTCCTATTCTTTGAACTTAGAGCTTTCGTTGAAAACATATGCTTGATTTAATATCTTCATATTGAAATACGCTGTTCTGGAATTTTGAAACAGTCTTTTGTTCTAGGGTTGAAATTTTTAGTTCAGGTCTATCTCACACATCTTCTCATACCGATGAGTGAGGTAGAATCTTCTAGACTGTTTTGAAGCAGGTGAGGAAGCGGAGACCTACAGATGATGGCCTCCTCGTTCCCAATCTGTAATTTATATTAGTTTGGCAGGCAGTGGGAGTTCAGGTAAACACTTCTTATTTTTACACATATTAGATGCAGCAGCTAATGACAGTTTTTCAAAACTAATAATTCAGAAGGACAAGGATCTAGGTAGTTTACCCATCCTAGAAATATGTGAAGTGTTACAGTGTAATTATAATTGTGTAGAAAATATCTGTGCCTAAAAATTTATGATAGGAATTATCTCCAGAGTATTAATTGCCTCACCACTCAAATAACATAACCAAGGGTCTCTTTCTTCTCTTTTTATTTTATATCTTGCATTTTCAAACTTTTCTTTCACAACCACTGCTCACTTAAGGATGAGAAGAAGAACTGCATGTTTTTATGTTTTTTTTTGAACTTGTCCCTCTGGAGGGCTTTGTTTTCAAAATTAATAAAAATCTGGGATTTATTTAAAGCTTTTGGGTTCCCCAGATGTTCCAGTAGATTTCCAGTCTTCTTTCCTTGTCACACGCATGTGATTATATGACTATCCAACAAGATACACAAGAGGCTGGTTTCACAGAGACTGTAGAGCTGGATTTACAACTCAAATAAGAATTAAGAATAATACATCAATGTTCTTAGCATATGTGTGCCTCGACCTCTTTATCACTAAAACAAAGAGAGAGGGCACATAATTAACACAAATGGGTTCTTCTGGCTCTAAACTATCATAAATTAGAAAATTTCACACCTAGACATTTTCTAATATTTTTATGTAAATATTGCGAGGATCTAGGGAAAGTGGGCATCACTTCACTTAGCCCCAGCACAGCAGTATAAATTCTTAGGTCACAAGGAAGCTGTCATGGGGACAATGGGATTCAGTGTCAGCTTCTGAAGGGTCTGACAAGGTAAAACACAGCTCTAACACAGCAGAGAAGATGTTTGTAAAATAAATAAACTTTTAACCATGATTCTAAAGTGCTGTGATTGCCTGTAATCCCAGCTGCTGGGGAGGTAGAAATGGGAGAATTGCAGTTCCAGGCCAGTCTGTGCAAAAGAAGTCAGCGAGACCCTGTTTCAAAAGCAAGCCAGGTATGGTGGTGAATGCCTGTAACCCCAGCTACTTGGGATGAAGATAGAAGGATGGAAGTCTGAGGTTGGCTGGGAAAAACCCACAAGACCCTATCTCAAAAAACACTAAAAAAGCAAAGAACTTGGAGGGTCTGGCTCAAGTGGTAGAGTGTTTGCCTAGCAAGAGGGAGACCCTGAGTTCGAGTCCCAGTATTCCAAAAGAAAGCAAAACACAAACAAACACAACCTACTGGAATCAAGGAGTGACTGAGGGACTAGCTCAAGCTGTTGCTTCTTTAGGTGGTTCTAGCTGAGCCCATCGATTCCAGGGGTGACATTTCTTATGTTGTGTACGTCTGTTCTATGCAGGTTATACTGGAGAGCTTTGCCAGTCCAAGATCGATTATTGCATCCTTGATCCATGCAGAAATGGAGCCACATGTGTTTCTAGCCTCAGTGGATTCTCCTGCCAGTGTCCAGAAGGTAAGACATGATTCCTTACTCCACGAATGCTTTTCATTTTTTCCACATTACATCTTGAAGTCATTTGATAAGCTTTGTACTTTAAATTTCTGAAAAACTCTGCACAAGAGAACTTTCTTTTCATTAATGAAGTAAAATAGAAGATGGATCCCTTTAAAGCTTCGTGCTAAAATAATTTAAAGATTACATTTGAATATTAGACATAATCTAGGAATTTCAGTGATTTTGATGTCTGTAATGAAACAGTCTCTTCCTAAGGGTGAAATTTTACTTTTTAAAGTTCCTATTTTGTTAGAATATTGGCTTTTTACTACCAGGTTACACAAAAAAATTTAATGCAAAATTCATCTTCTTTGGTTTTCACCTCGACTTTATGTCTTAGAAAATTTAGGCCACCTGGAGTGCCACATCTGTAGGGCTACTTTTATTTTAGACCAGTCTCACTGCTAGAGTAAGAAGGAGCAGGCAGATAATCCCAGGCAGAACCTGGTGCTCAAGGAATGATTTTATACTTTGAAGAAATTGTGTTCCCATTTCCGCTCAGAGGGATGCCGTGGAGGGGATTACTTTAAACCTTTAATGTAAGAATAATGTGGTATTAGAGGTTTCTCCCCTAAAAACCATCATGTAACAACTATACAAAATAGTCACATCCTCCGCTGAGATTAAACACAGAGTCTGGGTGCATAGGGAGCCATCTCTGTACTCAAAATCCCCCCAAACTGCCCCAGGAGAGAGACTGGAGGAGGGCAGCAGTGGTGTGGGGAGAGGCCACTGGCCTCTCACGTGAGCCTTATATACCTCGGTATTTTGCATTAGCAAATAAAGAAGGGCAGATTCCTGTGTGGGCACCTGCTCGCCTGGGCATCCAGCTGCCCTCTCTGGCTGTGTGTGCTGGGAGTGAAGTGATTGCCGCAGTGGTGATGGGGTCACAGTGCTTGATGAGCCTGCTTGTCATCTCTCTCCTGGCCCTCGCTTGCCTTTTTTTGGGAGCGTGTGCAGACAAACAGGAAAACCTGGAAGCATCACCGTGGGCAGGGCAAGCAGCACCTGGCCATTTGTCTGTGAGTGTCCTGCAGTTTTTCAAAGTTCTGTGACAGCCTGAGCGAGTCAGTGACCACCTGACTCTGGTTGTAGGCCTTTTCATTTAGTTAAGGGCAGGCTTCAGGGTCACTTTGGGATCAAATGGAATTTTTGTGAAAGAGTTTGGATGACTTCAAAGTGCTTTAATTATTTTTTATTAAGTTGCCATGAGACCCCAGAGGCTGAGACAGGGGAGATTGCACAAAATCACACTGGTAATAAAGGATTGCCCTCCAACTAGAATCTAGTTTTGCCTTCGCTCATACTTCATTTTCCTACACCCTGCAAGTTTTCTCTTTTAGCAGTACTAGGGTTGAACCCAGGGCCTCATGCTTTCTTGGTGAGTGCTCTACACTTGAGTTACACCCCCTAGTCCTTTTGCTTTTAGTTTGGTTTTCAAATAAAGTCTTGTGCTTTTGCCCAGGTCAGTCTCCTACCTCTGCCTCCCTAGTAGTTGGGATTACAAGAGTGTACTACCATGCTTGGCTTTCCATAGACATTTTTTCAGCACTTCCCCAATGTCAGGCACTGTGTTGCATCAAGGGATGTAATGGTTAGCAAAGCTGAGAGGGCCCTTCTCCAGGTACACACATTAATCAGCATATAATTACATGCCTTGAAGATATGCAAAAGGGATCTGCCTAGTCTTGGGGACTTAGGAGACTGAGGGGGGTGTACAGTTGAAGGTGTCATTGAGCTAAGAGGACCACGCATTGGTAGCTGGCTGGCTGAAGAGGGTAGACCACGACTCTCAGGGCTTCTTGGGCCAGAGTGAGGCACTTCCTCTTCATTCTGGAGGGCAGGGAGGCTGAGGCATAGGTTTGAAGCCCACTTCCACCACTTACTTACCAGCTTTGTCCCATGGGCAAGACTTTACCTCTCAGTGCCTCAATGTTTTAATCGAGACATTGCGGTGGTGATAATACCTACTTCACAGGGTTAGCATGTGAATTCCAACACATCTCATCTCTTTTTCTCTTTATCTGATGCAGATAAAGAGCTCAGCACAGTGTCTGGCAAAGTACTCAATAGGTATTTGCTATTTTATCATTATTGTTTCATTATAGTTATTGCTATTAAAACAACTGCTAACCAGAGGACTATGAACATAAATTGCAGAGAGACCAGAGTGGAAATAGGAAGAAAAGTGTGGGGATGGTTGTAGAAGTCCAGAAATAGAAATAGTGTGCTCAGTATAGAAGGTAGAATGTGCAAAGGGAAGAAGCTGGTGGGTTGAAGAGAGCTTCGGAGGACCTGGAGAAGGATGGGACATGAAGGGTGAGGGAGAGTGAGGTGGCAGATGTGTGTGGCTTCTGCCACTTTGCAGTGGTCTCACCATTCATGGGGGAGTAGAAAAATGGACAAGTGTACTGATTTGGACATGTCGAGTTTGAAGGGCTCTTTGACATTCAAGTGGAGATATGAGCAGAGCAGGTACTACGTGAATTTGGAAGAAGCCTTGGCCAAGTCTAAATAAATCACCAGCCTATGGATTATAATTTAAACCCTAGGTAATGATGGGATCATCTGGGGGCCCTTCTCCTTTATCCAGTGGCCATTTAGCTCCTCTAAGCAGCCTAGGTAAAGCCTGGGGGAAATTATGGTGCTCCCGCATTGAAAGGAAGAAGGTGACCTTCCCAACAGTCCTTCATCCAGAGATCCCTCCATCAAAGTCTGACCAGGATTTAGTTATCATTTGGAAGGACTCATGGAAGGTGTGGAGACTTCCCAGCAGGAGCCCATAACTGGTGACGAGCACTTTAAAAGCAGCCCGTATTTTTAGGGTGGTTGGTGTGGTAATTAGATTTGTACAGCACTTTGCCCTTGGAGAAGAGCTGTGTCTCCAGGGTCCTTGTCACATCAGCCACACTCTGAAAGCAAGTCTGAAAAGTGTCCTAAATTACAAGGTGCTCTGGAGTTCTGAGCCAGCTCCTGGCCGTTCCTGTTCCTTGTCATTTTCTTCTTTGCGTGTTGATTGTGTCCTCTGCAATTCCCTGTGTTTTTCATTGAGGAAAGGAAATGCATTTTATTCATCTTCTTGACCTCACCTACTCCCAGGGATCATGTTTTATGTTAGTAGGAGATTAATTCATAATTAGTAAATAATTCAGTTATAAAAGTCAGCATTTAGGTATTAGTCACTGTCTACTAATTTGATCCTTGCAAGAACCTATGAAGCACACACTAGTAGTATTTCCTCTTAGCAGAATGGAAAACAGAGGCACAAAAGGGTAAACAATGTACTTGAGATCACAGAGCCAGAAAGTGGAATGCAGGTAAATGGTCCCATACCAATAAAGATTTTTTTTTTAGATTGTCTTTGCAACCAAAATCTTGAGAAAACAAATGCAAAGTTTGTTGGGTTCTAAAAGTTCTAAATGTTCCTGCTATTTAAATTCTTAAGTCTGGAAAAAGAGAGAAACTTATTTCCTTTAAGTACCATGGGATCATTTTACAACAATTTCCCAGGCAAGAAAGTTGTTAAAAGTGGATGGTCCCCCTGGATACCAGGTGCTTTTGACACAGCTTGTTCATATCCTGACTTATTCCTGTTACTTTCGCCTTCATCCTTCTTCCTTCAAGGGTCCCCTTCTATCTGATGTGGGCCAGGTCCTCAGAGGCTGAATTCCTTCCTGGGAACTGTCTCTTTGACTCCTACCTTCCTTTAAATCCATTTACTGAAGTTCAAAGTCAGGCACCTGAGAGGCAGCTGTGCTCTCCTTGTCACCTACACTGTCTTCTACAGATTTTTATCCCTTCATCAGGGAGCTTTGCTGTTTCTTTACCTTTCTACTTCACCCTCTTCAGGTCCATATTTGAAAAGTACAGTTTCAGATTCTTATTACAGTGAAAGCAATAAGAACGTTAAGTAAAAATATAAATATTTTCTTATATCTTCCTTATTGAGTGGTAACAACAACAGACAGGTAACTGGACTCCTTCCTGGATTGTCTAGAACTTTGAGATACTTAAGTTTTTAAACCAAATGCATTTTATGTCTGAAGATTTCTACAATCTCTGCATATTGACATTTAAATATGTGAGTATATTTAAATACTATGTAAGTAAAATCTGCATCCTACTATCCAGACATCAGCAATCTCAATTTTTAACCACGCCCCCTTTCAGGGAATTTAAAGAATACCACAGAAATCAATAAAGAATGAAAAGAAATCAATAACAATGAAATCACTCAGCACTTAAAGGACATGCATCGTTTCTGTAGGTGAAGCCGTCCACGTGGTGCAGAGCACACCTGGTGGGATAGAATCACTTACCTGTCACACAGGGCGGGCACACACCAGTCAGAGACCAAAGTGAGAAAGATGACTCTACACTCTGTTTTGAGAAAATATCATTTTATCCAATGCATTTAAAATATTAACATTTTCAAAGTTAAAATGTTTAAAAACACTACACACTTCCTGTGTAGGATCGTAGACACACAGAATTTGAGTAAACTGCGCTTGCTCTGTAGTGATGAAGGCAGGTGTTGCAATTGGGTGGGGACACATTTCCTTTTGTCCTTTAACTCCTAAAACACAGCACTGATAGTGATAATGAGACTCAGGTCAGAAACCCCGATGGCCAGGTGTGGAGACCTGTGTCCTTCTCTGTCTGGAAGTCAGGATTCCTGAGTCTGGGCCTAGCGATGAAGCGGAGGAGCTGCGTGGTTTTCAGTGTGGAGTGTAGGGTCACACTGCTTAGATTTGAAGTCTGACCCATCTTTTCTGCCAAACTCTTTGCTTCTCTGGGGCTCATTTTCTTGTTTCTAAAATGGGGGTGATACTAGTACCTCATGTACTAACATGAGCATGGGGAGTAGTAAGTGCTGAATAAATTAGCTATTATAGTGATTACTCATTTGTCATATCACCCTGAGTGAGTCCTATGATTTTTTATCTCTTGCAGCCTTC